AGAAGTGTCCAAGCCCACTTCTCCTGCTTTCTATCTCAGAACTGGCGTTCCAAACTCATAGTCCCTAAATGCCTTCGTCTCATCTCTTTTACATCTGTGGTTTTACAGGTACAGCAGCTGTTTGCTAAAGCTGGAACTATAGGCCAATAAATGGGCCAAGGGTAAAACTCAGTGAAATGCAGCACTCATAGGCAATGAGCCAACTCAAGCCTTCACTGGTATAGCAGGACCCCGTGGCAGGGATTGCTAGCAAAGGGCTGCTGCTGACATCAGCCTCGGATTCTGGAACACACTCATCAAAAGCCTCATGAGGGAGTGAAGCCTCAGTAGGTCGTGTTATGCCTCGTAACCAGTAGCATCACCAAAGCAAAGCAGTACAGACTGGAAGTATATTTGAGTCATGCCTGATAAGCACCTTTGGGAGAACCGTCCCTGAACGGTGGTAAACAGTTTTAAGCCTGTTAAGCTACCATTAGTAACCCAAAACCTGTATTTACAAGGTGGGTTATGCACTAAGGATGTGACAGGAGAAAATACTCACATTTCCTTATAAATGTGGCAAGGGAAGACAAAAAATACCAATGACCTCAATGGCTTACAAGAAATTAGGACCCCATAGTTAGGGATGAAAATGGGTCATATAAATATTTACTTCTAGATGATAATTCAACCTTACAACACTTATCTAAATAGAGGTGATGCTCTGCAGTAGAACATGTGTTATATGTAGAGAAAAGGTCCCAGGTTCAATCCCCAGCATCAAATACAACAGAAAACAAATACCCTATAAAAAGGTGTTTTGAACTTCAGAGTATTGGGGATTTTGTAAAGATAGCAGTTTTAAAACACGTTAGATAATATTCTCTATGATATCTAGGGTAGTAACTTATAACCGAACAATACTTCTTTCAAGCATATTAGTATTTCCATCAAAAAATGTTAAAAGGAGCTGGAGAGATTGCTCAGAGGTTAAGAGCACTGGTTGTTCTTCCAGAGGTCCTGAGTTCAATTCCTAGCAACCACAGGGTGGCTCACAACCATCTATAATGGAATCCAATGCCCTTCTCTGCCGAGCAGAAGAACGTGTAGACAGAGCACTAATAAATAAGTCTTTTAAAAAATATTTTTTAGCCGGGTGGTGGTGGTACACGCCTTTAATCCCAGCACTCAGGAGGCAGAGGCAGGCAGATCTCTGTGAGTTCAAGGCCAGCCTGGTTTACAAGAGCTATTTCGCTGGGCGGTGGTGGTGCATGCCTTTAATCCCAGCACTCGGAGGCAGAGGCGGGCGGATCTCTGGGAGTTCGAGACCAACCTGGTCTACAGAGCTAGTTCCAGGACAGGCTCCAAAACCACAGAGAAACCTTGTCTCGAAAAACAAAACAAAACAATACAAGAGCTATTTCCAGGATAGGCTCCAAAGCTACAGAGAAACCCTTTCTCGAAAAACCAAATAAATAAATAAATAAATAAAAATAAAAAATAGGGCTGGAGAGATGGCTCAGTGGTTAAGAGCACTGCCTGCTCTTCCAAAGGTCCTGAGTTCAATTCCCAGCAACCACATGGTGGCTCACAACCATCTGTTATGAGGTGTGGTGCCCTCTTCTGGCCTTCAGGCATATACACAAACAGAACATTGTACACATAATAAATAAATATTTAAAAAGAAAAAAAGAAAAAATATTTTTTTAAAAAATGTAACTGTCCCCACACTTGTTCAATTTTGCTACCAAAATTTTAAAAATACTCATTTTTGATTATGAAGGAAACATGGATTGTAAGTGGTCTAACACAAAACCATCTTTCTCCCATGGTTGGAACTATGTCTGTAGTGTGTGGCCCTATAACTAATGTTGGTTCATTCAAGTCAGTTTTATACTGGTCAGAACACATATTAAATTAAAATTACATGGTAAAGGACTAGGGGGTAGCTCAGTGTAGAGTTCTGGCCTACTATTGTGCACAAGACTCTAGGTCCAGTCCTCCGCGTTGTGTACACAAAACACACACCTATAAACAGGCATGATGGCACACGCCCACAAACTCAGCACCAGGGAGACAGAGACAAGAAAACTGTACAAAGTCCAGGCCAACTTAGTATCCAGATCAAGCTTCAGGCCAGTCAGGGCTAAGAAGTGAAACCCTGCCTCAAAGAACAAGCAGAAAAATGAGTAAAAGAGATAATATAAAACGCAGGCTATGTCATGAAGGGCCACAATAAACACACAACAAAAAGTGTCAATATCTTATTCAGTTTGGTTTGGGTTCCTGAAATGGTCAGTTTTAGGAGAACCTCTGAAATCTCTTGACTTCCATACCTATCCAGAAGTGGGCTTTTTGAACTTGAGAAGACACCTGTAAGGAATAAGGGCTTCATTCTAACGCTGGTCATCTTCTCTGGCACGAAATAAAAGAAACCCACATCTGGTTCCACCTGCTAACTCGCTGAAGTCTCCCTTCACAAAGGCCTTATCCTAAAGCAAGGAAGACTAAGGCACACTAACCAGCCAGATGACAAAGTTGCAAATTTCAGGTAGCTGTCAACTCCACTGCTGCACCCAACTGCTCCATAAATGTCCATCATGGGCCCTGTCCAAAAAGCATCTTATTCTAGGGAGAATGTAACCAGCCTCCGACTTCCCAGGACCAACAAGAAAGTCCACAATGCACTCACCTTCTGCCTGCAGAGGGGCTCCTTCTTGTTCTCTTCAGCCTTGGCGTCCTGCTGGGCAGCATCTTTGGGGGTGTTTACTGCTAAAACATCATTTATGGTAGAGCCAACCACCATGATCTTGGCTCCACTGGTCACTTTTATTTCTCTCAACGTTTTATCTTCAGGAACAAGTCCCTTATACATGACCTTCTGCATGGCGGGTGGGAGACCTTGACAAAAAGTGGAAGGTAGGGAAAGGAATAAGCAGGAAATGCATGGACCATCATGCTTCTCTAACGAAACAGGAAGTGAACACTGGCTCCATCAGCTAGCAGCTTTTTGAACTTGGGGGAATTTGGACCAGCAGGATATTTGGTTGCTAAGACTTGGTCCTTCTAGTAGACTTAGGGTATTTAGAATTGTTCAACATGTCTTCGTTATCATTCCTTCCAAGTCGCTCCTCATCCTTATTCTCACTTAGATACTGAGAATGTCCAAGCATCAGGGAAACAGCTGTCAGTAAGTTACTTTCCTATGGCATTCACAGACTACATGGGAATAGCTTAAGAAAGAATTAATTTTATTTATTTATTTATTTTGGTTTTTCGAGACAGGGTTTCTCTGTGGCTTTGGAGCCTGTCCTGGAACTAGCTCTTGTAGACCAGGCTGGCCTCGAACTCCCAGAGATCAGCCTGCCTCTGCCTCCCGAGTGCTGGGATTAAAGGCATGCACCACCACCGCCCGGCAAGAAGTAATTTTAAATAGCAAATCAATATAAACAGAGTGACCAAATATGAATAATTGTGAAGGGCCACCATGACTGTCAGTCAATATCAATGTTTCAGGAACTTCCCTTATGAAACTTACCTATCTGCTAAAAATAAATCTAGACCCACTCAGAATCTCTATAGTTAGTGCCCAGGAGCTGTGAATTTAATAAATACCATGGGAGATTTTCACTATCCTTAGTAGTCCAACATTAGTTAGAAGGCTGAGCCTAATAATTCGGTTTAAGGTTTGTATCTCTGCTCCACCACTTGGTAGCTCTATATCATCACGGGTCCAGTTTTCCCTCTGTGATTAATAAAAGACATGCAAATACTGACTTCAGAAAACTGCAGCGAGGGTAGCGGGAGTCCATGCAAGGAAAACACAGCAGTTCTAGGACGACGTAAGCAATACGGACTAGAAGGTGGGGGTGGGGGATGGAGGCAGTTGGTTGTCAGCTCCTAGAATACCTGTAATGGAGTGAATCTTCTGCTTTAGCTCGGAACCCGTGCTGTCCAACGGGACCTTCACGTCGTGCTTAGTCTTGTTCCAAATTATCTTCAGCTCCACCAGCTCCCTGCCCGCACCGCCGCCTGCGTCCTCGCCGTTGCTGACCGAGGCCTGAGCCACAGGGTCCCCAGGGGGCTGGGCAGGGGCCGGCTGCAGGCTGCCTCGCGCGTCGCAGGAGTCCTCGGCCGCCGCCCCCGCCGCTGCTTCGTCCTCCACGCAGTTGAGGGGCCGTGCGGGCGCTTCGGTGGGCACAGCCTCAGCCTCCGTGTCCATGCCTGCAAAGGGGTTAAGAGGGTGGGCGCTCGCCTCGAGCCGGGCCTGCGACGAGAATGAGCCCAGGCGCCACTGCACCGTCGCTGCTGCGCCACCTCCTCCCTCTAGGGCCAGTTCCCGTTCCCCGACCCCCGCAGCGCCGGCAGCTCTTTAGCCGCCGACCGACCGCCTTCCCCTCCGCACTCACCATCCGGGGCTCCGGCCGCCGCCATGATGATTGTGTACAACACCCACCGCGCCCGCAGGGGCCGCCGGGAAGACGCGAGCTGGCTGAGATTGGCCCCCGCTACAGCCCCTAATTTCACTCAGCCTGGCCGGAAACAGGTGGAGGTTTCTATGGAGACCCGCCTCCTCCGCTTCCCCGGCCGGCCCCTGCCACGCTTTAGCATTCCCGCAGCCGAGGGGGCGGGTCTGGGAAATGGCCCGCTCCCTGCGCGCCGTCCCCTAGCGGCGCCGCACCGTCCCGGCTGTTCAGAGGGGAGTGGGCGGCCCAGATCGGCGGCCTGCGCCTTTAAGTGGGCGGGGCCGCTCCCGCTGTGGCGGAAATTGATTGGTGGGAATGCGCTTCCCCGCCCCCCAAGCCGCGCGGAAGTGACGCTCGAAGAAGCCCACATGTGTGTTTCTATTTCACATGGCGGCGTTCCTCCAGAGGCTTCCGCGGGCTGGGCCTCGCGCGGCGGCCCTAGGCCACCGCGTGGGACGGCGGGACGCCAGTCTGGGCCCAGATCCCGGGGCCACGGTGCGAGTTCGCTTCGCTCCCAGCCCCACAGGTAATCCTGGCGGACGTGACGCCCGCGCCGCAGCCCACCGGTCTGTCCCCGCCCCCGAACGTTCCAGAACCAGTCCCTTCCGGTGTCTGTGCGACCCCATTTTACAGAGACGGAAATGGAGGACTAAGGTCTGAAGTGATTCAGGTTCCTGGAAGTTCCTTTGTTATAATGTCTCGGTTATTTTTTGTGTAGTGCGTTTAAACTGTGCCAAGCCCTATGAGCTAGAATGCAGTGGTCATTGAAAAGTTAGGGTTCCTGCTTTGAAGAAACTGTCATTCTAGTGACCACGACATGCACTTACAAGAAAAATTTCAGGGTTAGATATGTCATTTTGGAAATGAAGCGGAATAGGGTGCCTTAGAAGGCATTGCTGAAGAGTTAACGTTTGAGTTGAGAACCATATGTCAAGGAGACCTGCTTGAAGCCTAAGAGCAAATGGCGCAGTGGCCCGGGTTTATTACTGCTGGAAGCTTAGCAAGCCAAGAGAAATCAGGCCAGTGTATAGCCTGTTAGAAATACTGTCCTGTCGTCTTGCTGGATGATGGAGCACACGCCTTTAATCCCAACACCTGGAAGGTAGAGCCAGGCCGGTCTACAGAGTCCCGGACAGCCAGGGCTACAAAAGACCAAAATGAGAGAAATGTTGTCGTCACTTACCCTCCGCACCACACGTTCCCAGCCCTCCTTTAGCTCAAGTCACCTTCCACCCACTTGACACTGCGCATTCCAGACCCAAGGTCAGCAGAAAAAGATCATTTGGGACGGAGTCCCAGCTGCGCAGGAATGACGTGTTACTTCTGGGCAGGTGATATAAATCGTGGAATTTTTTTAAACTCTGTGTGGCGGAAGCCCCAATTCTTAATTACCAGTTGTAATTCTGTATTTAAGACTAACATAAATGAAACTACTAGGGAAAAAACGAGTATCTGGAAACCAGACAAAACAAAAGCTCCATTCTTTTTGTTAGTCTCAGTGGACGTCAAATGGCTTATGAAATGGATGCAAGTTTCTAAACCCCAACTCTCCGTTTCTGTGCTTGCCTACTGTGAGTGTGCACTGGATGTGCCCTTTACTTGAAGAGGCACTTGTGTAGGTCACCAAGGCCTGGCATTTTCTGCATACATCTATCTAGATACATAGATAGAGATTTTTTTTTTTTTTTTTTGAGACAGGGTTTCTCTGTTGCTTTGGAGCCTGTCCTGGAACTAGCTTTTGTAGACCAGGCTGGCTTTGAACTCACAGAGATCCTCCTGCCTCTGCTTCCCAGAGTGCTGGGATGAAAGGCGTGCGCCACCGCCATCCAGCCTATATTTCTGCTTTTGGCCTTTCCTAGATGTGTCATTTTGGCAATGTTCTCTGCTCTGTTTATGTCCTAGTTTTGCGGTTTGTCAAGTAGGGCTAATAATAGTACTTGACTGATGGTCTTGAGCCAGTGTAGCTGAGCCACTCAGCAAGATCTGCTATGTGAAGTAGCCTTCACTTCAATTATCATTTTCATTTCTTTACTGACTGGCAGGAAAAACCCAAATGGGAAGGAGTTGTCAATCAGTGTAGATCGCTGTGATAGTTAAAATTAATTGAAGGTATATTAAAAAAATTAATTGAAGGTATACTTTTTGTTGTTGTTGTTCTGGCTGTTTTAATTTGGAAACAGCTTACTGTATTGCCCATTGGCTTAGAACTCACTGTGAAGATCATGCAGGCACTGAACTTGCAGCAATCCTCCTGTCTCTGCCTTCCAGATACAAGAGTTACAGGTGTGAGTCACCAGGCCTGGCTTAAAGTTCTGCTTTGGTCAACATTTAGGTATCATAGCAACCTAATGATAAAGAAGAATCCAGGTGTTTTTGTTGAGTTGCGACTGTATCCCTGGCTGGCCTGGAACTTGCTGTGTAGACCAGGCTGTTGGCTCACTTACACAGATCACCCGCTTCTGCCTCCAAAGCGGTTAAGAGGAAAGGTTTATGCCACCAGATTCAGCCTGACTTTTTTTTTTTAAGCCTACTAACATCAGCAAATTGAAACTTGTGAAAGCTAAGTGAATTCCCAAAGGTTAGGAACTTTTTTTTTCCCAGGCGGGGTTCCTCTGCAGCTTTGGAGCCTGTCCTGGAACTGGAACTAGCTTTTGTAGACCAGGCTGGCCTTGAACTCACAGAGATCCACCTGCCTCTGCCTCCCAAGTGCTGGAATTAAAGGTGTGTGCAACCACCACCTGGCTTATTACAATTACTTACAACTAGTGCTTATGGTGATAATCTCAAGTAGGAAAAATGCAGATTGCATGATGTGATTAAGTATGATATGTAGAGTATATATGAAAATATTTTCTAAATAGGATTTAGATGTGTTATTAACATGTAATTAGCCTTCTTCCTCCCTGGAATATATCAGTAGATTTATGTAATGTAAATGCTAGTGTGATCTGGCCTCTGAATAGTTTTCAAACAGATAATGAATGCTGTTTCTCCTTCTGGTAAAACTTGGCCTTGAGGCAAATGTCAAAGTTGACTGCTAAAGGCACTCAGGAAGAGTTGGAGCATTTTTATGTGGTGACAAGCTCCTGGACCTGACACATGGGTGTTTTTTCATTCCCAAGATGAAGGACTAAATGGAGTCAACTACCCTGACCTTTACTTTTTCTTTGCTATTGTTATTAACATTTATTTATTTTATGGTACATTATGAGTAATTTGTCTACATGTGTGTATATGTACCATTTCTATATGGTACCTGCTAAGGTCTGAAGATGGTGTTGGATCCACTGGAACTAGATTACAGATAGTTATGAGCCACCATGTAGATGCTGGGTAGTGAACCTGGGTACTGGAAGAGCATCCAGTGCTTGTAGCCATTAGGCCTTCTCTCCATCCCCACTGTGTCCTTTTCAGTGACAGTCTGGTTATCAACCAAAGAAATAGGACAGTCACAGCCATTTCTTGGTCTTGAAACTTCATTGGGACATTCTTTTTTTTTTGTTTGTTTGTTTGGTTTTTTTTTTTTTTGTTTTTCGAGACAGGGTTTCTCTGTGGTTTTGGAGACTGTCCTGGAACTAGCTCTTGTAGACCAGGCTGGTCTCGAACTCACAAAGATCCGCCTGCCTCTGCCTCCCAAGTGCTGGGATGAAAGGCGTGTGCCACCACCGCCCGGCTGGGACATTCTTATTTGCATTTCAGTTGGGGCCTGTGATCTAGCCTTTTCCCTGTCCTGTCTGACCTCTTCTCTTCTGCCAGGCTTCTTGCACCTGGGTGGCCTCCGTACCGCTCTCTACAACTACATCTTTGCCAAGAAGCACCGAGGGAGCTTCATTCTGAGACTGGAGGACACTGATCAGAGTCGACTGGTACCAAGGGCAGCAGAGAACATTGAGGACATGCTGGAGTGGGCAGGTGAGTCTAGCAAGGAAAGAGTCTCTGAGGAGGAACAGGAAGAGAAGAAAGCTGTGGGTCTTCTCTGTGCCTTCAAGGTGGAGAATAAGAACTCAGGGAAAACAGATAAATCTGCACAGTCTGGGGTGGTGGATGTTCCCTGTAAAAAAATGACAAGACTCCCCGAAGCCAAGCTCTAGGGCTGTTGTGGAATACCTTCTCTTATCCCAGTTGTTTAAGTGCATTCCCTGAGAGGTCAGGACAGGAAACAGGTTCACGGGGAATGAATGGCGTGTGGTGAACATGAAGTGGGGTCTCCTGAAAAGGATACAGTGCCTATGAGCACCAGCTCCTGCTCCCAAGAGAATGTGACCTCAAATTGTCCAACTTTATAGTTCCAAGAAGAACTAGAAAGCTGAAGTATATAGAATGTTTGTATGTATGTATGTATGTATGTATGTAGATACATAGATCAGGTTCCTCTATGTAGCCCTGAATGTCCTGAAACTCACTATGTAGACCAGGCTGGCCTTGAACTCAGAGATTTGTCTGCCTCTACCTCCTGAGTGCTGAGATTAAAGTTGACATTTATCACCATGCCCAGCTGAACGCCCCAGTTTTTTCTTTTAAGTACCTTTTTTTTTTGTCTTCTCCCTAACTTTTTTTTTAAATATATATATTTATTTATTTATTATGTATACAATGTTCTGTCTGTGTGTGTGCCTGCAAGCCAGAAGAGGGCACCAGACCTCATTACAGATGGTGTGAGCCACCATGTGGTTGCTGGGAATTGGACTCTGGACCTTTGGAAGAGCAGGCAATGCTCTTAATCGCTGAGCCAGCTCTCCAGCCCCTTCTCCCTAACTCTTTATCTTAATTTGTATTTTCATTTATTGTGTGCATGCACTTGTTTGTGTGTCAGAGGACAACTTGCAGGAGTTGGGTCTCCTTCTACAGTGTGGGTTCTAGGGCCTGAACTACAATTATTAGGCTTTACCGCAAGAGTCTTGACCTTTGCGCCACTTCATTGGCTAATTGTTATTTTAAATGAACACTGTCCATTGTTAAATCTAGGCTTGAATTTATTTTATTTTTAAACCACATCATTGTGAGTCAAACAAAATGAGTGCAGTTTTATGAGTTGATCTTCTTGTGCGTAATTTAATCCTGAATTTAACTAGGCTTGTTGAAATAAAGAATGTGTTTTGAGTTTCCTGGATCATCTTGAACTCCTATGGGTTCCTACTAAAGACAGGCACTAGAGAAAGTTAACACCCTAAGGAAAAATACGAAGACTACTTGAAGCCCGGTGGTGGTGAAACATACCTTTAATTCCAGCACTTGGAAGACAGACTCAGGTGGATCTCTGTAAATTCAAGGCCAACCTGGTCTACATAGCTAGTCCCAGGACAGCTAGGGCTGTTACACAGAGACACCCTGTCTCAAAACAAAACAAAACAAAACAAAAAACTACTTGAAGATATATACTCTCACCTCAGATAATTATTCACCAGGCTCTAAGTTCCTAAGTAGCAGAAACTCATTTATTTCTAGCTTTTATTAGTGAAAAATAAAATATATATGTAGTTGAGGTTCATTGACTAAAGGAATGTATTAGTCATTAAGATCACTTTGAACCATCTGCTTGCTGCAGCCTTAAAAATTCAAGTATTAAGACTTTACCCACCCAGAATTTTTTTTAAACCGTATTGGTGCTCCAGCCCAGGGCCTGTGCATTTAATGCAAGTACTCTACCACTAAGCTGTGCCCTGGCCCTGTACTTCATCCTTAACCTGATAGTAAGTTGTGATGAGAATTATAGAGAAAGGGCTGGAGAGATGGTTTGTTGGGTAAAGTGCTTGCTGTGTGCAGGTGTGAGGACTTGAGATCAGATCCCCGGGGGTTCACTGACCAGGGGTTCTAGCCAGTGAACTCTAGGTTCAGTGAGAGGGCTAGGAGATGATCAGTGGGTAAAAGCACTTACTAGTTTGGGTTCCAGCACTCTTCTAGCCTCTGTGGGTGCTGTATGAACACGGTGCACATATGTACATGCAGACAAAACATCCATATACAACGGGATCAGTTATTTAAAATCTTAAAAAATGAAGTAGAAAGCCCTTGAAGAAGGCACCCAATGTCAGCCTCTGACCTCTACATGTACATGTGCGCCTGCAAAGTTACAGAGAAAGAGTAACATGTTGGAAAACTGAGAAAAGGATGTTCTTCTTGATAAGGTTGTTTCTCTGGGCATAGAGTCTTGAATGAATTAAGGGGCTAATTTTGGCTATTTAGAGTAGATGGAATCAGATGCAAAAGTTCTGTGGAAGAGAAGTAGTGGTGGGTAAGAAATGACAAGGACGCCAGTATGGCCCTGTAGGTGGAGACCACGCATTTGTTTCCCAACCGCTCAGACCTGAATAATCACACAGAAACTATATTAATTACAACACTGCTTGGCCAATGACTCAGGTATATTTCTAGCTAGCTCTTACATGTTGAATTAACCCATCTATTAATTTGTGTATTGCCACAAAGCTATGGCTTACCTGTACAGGTTCTGGGCATCTGTCTCCTTGGGCAGCTACAAGCATCTCTTTGACTCCACCTATTCTCTATCTCTGTTCTGGTTTCCCGCCTGGCTTTACTCTGTTAATTGGCCAAAACAACTTCATTCATTGACTAATAAAAGCAACACATATACAGAAGGACATCCTACATTGTGGCCCAAAGACTACAAAAAAGTAAAATGAGTTTTAGTGGGGACCAGCAAATTCACTCAGTAAAATGCAGGCCCATGTTACAACTTCAACTTGATGGGGCTCTTGCTGCAGGTACTGTGTGAAGCTCATGTGGAACTGAGGAAAGCCGCTGCTCCTGCCACACTGTTGTGTAAACAGGGCCTGATCACAGCAATAGAGAAGTTACTAAGGCCACATCAATTACTCACACAGATGACCCTGGGTAAGCAAAATGGATCACAAGATAAAACCAAGTCCTAAATCTGGGAAAGGGACTGGTGAGAATGGAATAAAAAAAAAAAAGAAAAAGGAAAGAAGATGACTGCTCTTAGGCATGGTGGAGGAGAAAGTTTACTGTAGATAAAAGGGAGACATAGTCAGAGGTAGGGACATCTGGTTGAGTCCAGAGCGGATATAACCGTGAGCTGTGAGTGGGGGTGGCTAGTAGGTGCAGCAGCCAGGAGGCCCAAAAGAAAGCAGACAAAAAGACCAGAAAACTAGAATGGTTGGATTTTATAGGGAAAGGTAGGTAGTTGGGGGGAAGAGGAAGAGTAGTTAAGCTGGAAGTTCAGGGTAGGGGCAGGATATGCCAGCCAGGAGGGCCCTGTGACAGGCAGGGGCTGAGGGATGCAGGGAGAACCTGGCTGCCAAGTCCGATTTGATAGTTAAATAGGCCTTTGTCCCAGGTTTGAAACATAACAGGGATGAAGGGGTGTTAATAGGAATGGGAGGAAGATAAGAGTGAAGGGAAATATAAAAATATATTCTATACATACACATGTGAAAGTGTCTTGAGAATGAAAGTAATAAAAAAGATGGAGATCTCTAAAAAACTAATAAATTTTGATATGGAAATGATCCACAAATTTACCTCATTCAACCTTGTTCTAGTTCCCCTGTCTTTTTCTTTTCTTTTTTTTTTTTTTCTTGTGGAGACAGTGTCTCATATCTGGCCTCAAATTCACTGTGTATCCAAGGATAGCCTTGAACTCTTGATCCCTGTGAGTGCTGGAGCTCTAAGGCCTGCACACGATGCTTAGCCTTTCCTAAGGGCCAGCAGGGTATTTTGAAAATTAGAGTAGCAGCTGTCTGCTGTATGAATGGGTCCCAAAAGTGGGTTGTGGTTCCCTTCCCCCTTTAATAGAGTATATCCTAGTTAGTAGGGTTAATATTGTTGTTGTGAAACAATGATTTGAAGCTACTTGGAGAGCAAGGAGTTTATTTGGCTTATGATTCCCAAAGAAGTTAGTATAGGAACTCAAACAGAGCAGGATTCAGGAGGCAGGAGCTGATGCAGATGCCATGGAGGAATGCTGCTTCCTGACGTGCTCTCCATGGCTTGTAGAACCCAGGACCACTTGTTCAGGGTGACTTCACCAGTATGGAGTGGGCACTAATGAAGAAAATGCACTACAGGTTGCCCTACAGTCCTGATTCTGTGGAGGTTCAATTGAGGTTCCTTCCTCTCTGATGACTCCAGTTAGTGTCAAAGTTGACATAAAACTAGCCAGCACGGAGTATCTTTTATTTATTCTTTGAAAATTCCATATATGTAAACAATGTGTCTTGATCATAAGCACCCTAACTCCTCCTCCCACTTCCCTAGGAATCCCCAACTCCTTCCTTCCCCCAGGTACCCTCAACACATCCCACTCTCCCTTTTCATGTCCTATCTCCCTCCCCCCCCCACGCCCTTTTTTAATGGTAGTAGTAGGTTTCTTCTAGAATCTGTGACTTCCAGCCACAGGTTCTTGACAAAGTTTACAGTAGCAAATATGAGTTCCTATTGAGTTGGCCATAAGTATAATCAGATAGAGTTGGTTACCTTCAAGACATTAGTGCCACTAATGCTGGGCCTGTTGTAATTATAGTTTGTAGGATTTATTATTATACAGTATTCTGCCTGCACGTATGCTTACATGCCAGATCCCACTATCGATGGTTGTAAGCCACCATGTAGTTGCTGGGAATTGAACTCAGGACCTCTGGAAGAGCAGTCAATAATCTTAACCTCTGAGCTATCTCTCCAGCTCCTCCTCTCCTTTTTTTAATCGATATCCCAGTAAGTCCAGAGTTAGAATGTTAACTTGATCTTCTGCAGACCATCACGGCTGCAGGGAGGTCATGAGTGCAGTAGCTGTGCCATGTCTCAAGACAGCGTTTTATAGCCCTCCTCCTCATCTGCTGGCTGTTGGGTTAGTTTTGCTCTTCTGAGATGTTCTCTGGCCTTGAGGTGGGGAAATGGATGAAAGATGTTCCATTTGGAGCTGAGCACTCAGCAGACACTTGTCAGCATTCTGACCAGTTATGAGCTGTTATAATAAGAGCTGACCATTGCACAGAGAAGCTCCCTTGAAAAGGTTGAGGGTATAAGCATAAATATTTAGAAGGCAATTTGACAGCTTGTTGTTTAGTAAAACATCAGTCGTAGGTTCCCCCTGAAGACCTGTGACCTCCTGAACCATGGACTTTTGGCCAAGTTTACAACACCAAGCTTGAATTCCTTCCTGTGGAGCATGCCTCAAACCCAATCCAAAAGTAGTTAGTTACCTCTATAACCTTCATGCTGTTCTTGGCACCACTGGATCACTCTTGCCTGCAGGAATGCCATTGATGTGTTTTCTTCCCCAGCAGCCTGCTTTATACCTTCTATGCTATAAAAACCTTAGCAAGGAAGAAGTTTTCAGGTCAGTTCCTGCTTGATATCTGAATGTCCTGCAGCAAAATGTGTTATGCTTTTAGCAATAGGGCTTACCATCTAGTTCTGGTGAGGTTGCTTAGGTGTCGGTGTATTGTTTGTTTGCTTGTTTATTGTGTGTGTGTATGTCTGCATGAGTTTATGTGTATCACATGTGTGCAAGAGCCTGTGGAGGCCAGAAGAGGGTATCAGATCTCCTGGAACTAGAATTACAGGTAGTTAGTTGTGAGCCTCCATATGGGATCTGGGAACCAAACCTATGTCCCCTGCAAGAGCAGTAAATACTCCTAACTACTGAGCCATCTCTTTGAGCCTCATAAGTGTGTGGTTTTTGGTCTTGTTTTGAGGCAGGGCTATATAGCATAGGCTAGCCTTGAACGTTGACAGTCTTCTTATTGCGGCCTCCCAAGTAATGGGATTACCAGTTTGAGATACCATGTCTACCGCCCCACGTTCTTTTTTATCAAATGAAGAAATGAAGGTGCTGTGTGAGAGGTAGCTAAGTTATGATAACAGTAATTTTAGCCAGAATATATAGTGCATTTAGCAAGTGCCAAGTGATATGTCCTTATTCTCATTTTGACCTCTTAGGACCCTTATGAGACACTATTTACATCTTGTTTTACAAATGAACAGTTGAAAGTATTCAAAGTGGACTTGCCCAAGATCTCAGCGCTGTCCACTGGGTTTGAACCAAGGTCCATCTGTGTGGAGTGTGTGTGCTAGCTTTAAACGTTACAAGGTGATCTATGTTCTTACCCTACTTTACTAGAAGCTCTTAGTGGGCAGAAGCCCCCTTCTGCAGGCCTTGCATCTCCCCTGCCCTCTACTGGAAATATTGATATCTGTCTCTCACACATGAGTCCGGAAGCTGGATGTTAGGTTTGGAGTCTAGCCCTGTAAGTGTTGGGTTTAATATGTAGCTTTATTGAGACTGTCTTACATACAACCCTTCAGACTCTATACTCTGTAAGCATATAAATGCCAGTGCATTTGTTCCCACAATCATTCTCTATAAAAGGCTGTGAGCTTCATTTTCCAGAGGAGAAAACTGAGGCTTAAAAAGGATGAATTATTCAAAATTAAGAATGTATGCTTTGGCTGGGCAGAAGTGGCTCACACCTTTAATCCCAGCACTCGGGAGGCGTAAGCAGACGTGAATCTGTGAGTTCAAGGCCAGCCTGGTCTACAAAGAGAGTTCCAGGACAGCCAGAGCTGTTTCACAAAGAAACCCTAGCTTAGAAAACTTTAAAAAAAAAAAAAAAGTGTGCTTTGGTTTGGAGCTAGTGGCACCCATATGCCTTGGTTTTCCTTCCAGATTGTAATGGTATCAACACTTATTTGGAAGGAAGGCTTAAAGGTTTTGGAAATGTTGCAGAAAAAAACAGCAAAGCACCCAGGCAGTGGTGGCGCAAGCCTTTAATCCCAGCACTCGGGAGGCAGAGGCAAGCGGATCTCTGAGTTCAAGGCCAGCCTGGTCTACAAGAGCTAGTTCCAAGACAGGCTTCAAAGCCACAAAAGAAATCCTATCTCAAAAACAAACAAACAAAAAATCAGCAAAGCAGACTGCAGAGTGAATGGTGCCCTAGTATTTATACATTGTCATCTTTTGTGATCCCTGTCATGGCCAGTGAGTACTAACAGCCAGATATCCAACCAGGACGGGCTGGAGACTAGCCTTCCTGCCTTCTCTTGAGTCTGGCTACGGGCCTCAAATGGTTTCTCTCTTTCCTGGGAAAAGATGGATAGAAAGGATACACAGTAGACAGCCCACACACACATCCCTGTGCCCCAAACCCTTGACTAGACTATGTGATCTTTAGCCCCTAGTCTCTCAGAAATTGTGGTAGTACTAGCCTCATGGATTATCATAAAGCTTAAAAATTCAATGTGTCAAGGCCTGGTGACATGCCTTTAATCCCAGCACCCAGAAGCAGAGGCAGGTGGAAATCTGTGACTTTGAGGCCAACCTGGTTTACAAAGCAAGTTCCAGGATAGCCAGGACTACACACAGAGAAACCCTGTCTTGAAAAAGACAAACAAGAAGTTCAGTGTGTATGTAAAGCACCCAGATGAATATTTGGAAGAAAAAAAAAAAAGAAGAGCATTATGTGCTTTTCTGGTGTTACTGTGTAATGACAATTCTCCACCTGTGTTCCAGGCATTCCACCTGATGAAAGTCCCCGTCGGGGTGGTCCTGCCGGGCCCTACACTCAGTCCCAGCGTCTGGCACTGTATGCCCAGGCCACAGAAGCATTGCTGAAGTCTGGAGCTGCCTATCCCTGTTTCTGTTCACCACAGCGGCTGGAGCTCCTGAAGAAGGAAGCCTTGAGGAGCCAGCAGACACCCCGGTGAGATCCCTAGACCATTTTGGATGCCTCCCCAAGCCTGTGTTTGTAGCATCTCTGATTCTGCAGGTCAGACATTTGGGTAGGGCTTAGCTGGGCTCTTTGGGTCTGGGTGTCTTTCAAAGCTACAGTTGGGCCGAAGTCAAGCCTGCAGTTCCCAGAATTTGTTTGAGGAGGATTTGCATCCATCTCCCCAGAGGCTGTTTGCAGGCCGAGGGTCTTACAATATTGTCTGTTGCTCATCAGGTAGGTTTCCTCTAACCAACTAAACTGCCAAAATATACACAAGGGCTATCTTTTTCTTTTCTTATTTCCAGAGCTGAGGACCAAACCCCCCTTTCTTTTTTATCTTTTTGGTAGTGCTTAAAGTTGAACAAATGACCTGGTACATTCTAGGCAAAGATTCCTGTAACTCTACTATATCTCAAAACTACACAGGTCTGCATAGGACAGCTCACAGCTTGGCAATTAAATGTACCTAACTGTGGAAGTGACATCTTACCACTGTGTTCTTTCCTTAAAAAGAAGTCAGTGTGAGTTCAGCCCATACTTAGAAGGAGTACATTGTAAACCCTGAATGCCAAGAAGCGGGATCAGTCATTGTGGCTGTAGAGGAAGCTGCTGGTTATACTGTACCTCAAGCTATACTAGTTTTAATAATAATAATAATAATAATAACCTATTATAATGTATAAAAAATTTTCTGGGCTGGAGAGCATGCTCAGTAGTTGAGAATACTTAATTGGCTATGTATGGTGACACACACTTTTAATACTAGAATTTGGGAGGCAGAGGGAAGTAGATCTCTGTGAGTTTGAAGCTAGCCAGTTCTATATAGTGAATTCCAGGGCGGCCAGGTTTATGTAAAGAGAAGCTACCTCAAAACAAAACAAAAGAAGCTTACTGATCTTGTTGGGGATCCAAGTTCAGTTCTTAGCACCCAGTTCATAACCAATTCTGGAGGAATCTGATTCTTCTGGCCTTTATAAAAACCTGTACTCAGCTGGGTAGTAGGCGGATCTCTTTGAGTTCAAGGCCAAGCTAGTTCCAGGACAGGCTCCAAAGCTACAGATAAGCCCTGTTTTGAAAAACAAACAAATGAATAAATAAAAAACACCTGTACTCACATGCACATACCCCCCCCACACACTAAAATATTATTAAATATAATAACAGTAGGTGAGTGTGGCAGCACATGCCTTTAATCCCAGCACTCAAGAGGCAAGAGGCCAACAAATATCTGTGAGTACAAGGCTAGCTTGGTCTACAGAGCAAGTTTAAGGTCAGTAAGGACTTCACAGTGTGACCCTATCTCAAACAAGCAAACAAACAAAACAAAACATAAAAATCTAAAAAACTTTTCACGTTTGGTACTATGGGCGCACTTAGGCAGCGCGTACCACAGTGAGTATGTAAAGGTCAAAGGACAGTTTTCCTGAGTTGGTGCTTTCCTACCATATGGAAATTGAACTTAGGTCATTAATCTTGGCACTGAGCTAACAGCTAGTTCCAGGACAGGCTCCAAAGCCACAGAGAAACCCTGTCTCAAAAAACAAAACAAAACAAACAAACAAAAAAAAATGAAATATGCCTTTTGCCTCTGTGCTATGTAAGTAGGATAGTGTCATAGTTTATTTGCTGTGATAAAATACCCTGACAAAAGAAACTTAAGAAGGAAGGGTTTCTTCTGGTTCACAGTTTGATTTTCCTTCATGGCAAGGAAGTCCAGGTAGCCGGGGCTTAAAGCATCTGCTCGCATTATGTCCATAGTGAGCATGAAGAAAGAATAGATGCTGATGCTCAGCTCCTTTTCATTTTTTTTTAAATTTTTCTTTTCTATTTTTATTTGTGTGTGTGGTTTGTTTGTTTTGCTTTGTTTTTGTTTGTTACTGTTGTTTTCCAAGACAGGGTTTCTCTATGTAGCCCTGGCTGTCCTAGAACTAGATCTGTAGACCAGGCTGGCCTCAAACTCACAGAGATCCCCCCTGCCTCTGCCCCACACCCCCACCCCAGGTGCTGAGATTAAAGGCATGTGCCACCATGACCAGCTGTTTGTTTTTAATTATAGACAGACTATATTACATTGGTACAAAGAATTGTTTTTAGTTATGGTCACATAATATCATGGGATCTATGAGAGTTGATTGAAGAGTTAGATGTATCAAGAACTGAGCCTGCAAGCTTCACATTTGTGTTTGTTAGGACACTGTTGGATATACATTTAGAAAGTTAAAAGTGATGGACAGAGGCCAGTGAATTGGCTCAATGAGTGAAGTTGCTTACTGCATATGCCTGGAAACCTGAGTTCTAGCCTAAGAACCTGTGTGAAAGGTGAAACGACAGAACTGGCTCCATGATGCTCTCTTCTGACTTCCTCATGTGCACCATGGTATGTGCACTTCATGCACACGCATAATAATAATAATAATAATAAAATTTTTAAAGACATTTTTTCCAATACAGGGTTTCCCTATATAGCTCTGACTGTCCAGAAACAAGCTCTTTAGATTCAAGCTGTCCTTGAACTCAGAAACCCACCTATTTCTCCTCCTGAGTGCTGGCGGTAAAGGTGTGTGCCACCACTTTCAGCTAAAACTTTGTGTGGGGGGCAGGGAGCAAACCAGAGGCCTGGGGAGCTGGCTTAGTAGTTAGGAATTTATACTGCTTTGTATAGGACCAGAGTTGAGTTCTCAACACCCACATTAGACAGCTCACAACTACCTGCCACTCCAGCTCCAGGGGCTTCCAGCAGTTCTGGCTTCCACAGGCACTGTGCTTAGGTGTACTTACATACACATAATTTTTATAACAATTTTTGAAGAAGTAATCAACTAAAAAAAAAAGAGAAGTGAAAGATAAAATTTTAAAATGACAGCAACAACAGCTCCCTGTACTTTCTCTAGTAGGCGAATCATCTGGTCTTATGATTACCCTGTAGATTCTTGCTTAGCAGGTCTGAAGTTGGGGTCTGAGTTTCTCATGAGTTCCCTAGTGAAGCTGATGCTAGTAGTCATGCCTACTTTGAATGAGGAGAATGTAAGCCACATCGACCTTATTTGTGCATCTTGTGGAAAATCTGGTGATGGTTACTCCACGCTAAGAGGAGCAGCCTTGAGATAACTCTGGGGTGATCTCTGACTGTCACCCCACCTGTTGACAGCCTTGCCATCTTTCCCTTGTCTGTGGGGTTAACAGTTCCAACCTAGCTCCTCAGAGGGTGGCATCCACAGAGTATTCCTGGGAGGTATAAAAGGAGGGATTTTCCCCCTTAGAAGTACATCTTAACCTCATTGGGAAGAAATAACTTTCCCAGGACCCTAGCCCTTCCTTACCTACCAAGTGTTGTTTTCTTTGATTTTCAATGAATAGAATGGGTTTACATTCCTACCTGGGTCCATCACTGGCACCAGGTCACAAGATTATAACATGGTCTGTACTCATTGTAAGCCTGCTTTTGATCTAAGCATTTTCCCATCTCCTCCTTAGCAAAAGAAAAGGAACAGCAAAACATTAGTGTCTGCTGCACTGTTACCCACATGACTTTATTTTTAAACTTCCATTTTAGATAGAAGAAATCCCTTCAAGAGGTTACTGCATTGCCCAGGGTCATAAGGTATCAGATACCAAAGGTTCAGTTGGTAGTGCTTACTAGCATACCCAGGGCCTTGAGTAAAATCTACAGCACTGTAAGTAAAAACCAGAACTTGAAAGACAAGTAGGGTATCTGTCCATTGATGGATCTTTTAGCTGCTCTGTCTCCCAATAGGTATGACAATCGGTGCCGGAGCCTGAGCCAGGCACAGGTGGCCCAGAAGCTGGCCGTGGACCCCAAGCCTGCTATCCGCTTCCGCCTGGAGGAGGCAGCACCAGCCTTCCAGGACCTTGTATATGGTTGGACTCAACATGAAGTGGCCAGTGTGGAGGGGGATCCAGTTATCCTGAAGAGTGATGGCTTCCCCACCTACCACCTAGCCTGTGTGGTGGATGACCACCACATGAGCATCAGCCATGTGCTGAGGGGCTCTGAGTGGCTCGTCTCCACCTCTAAGCACCTGCTTCTCTACCAGGCCCTGGGCTGGCAACCGCCTCAATTTGCTCATCTGCCCCTGCTCCTCAACAGGGATGGTAGCAAGCTGTCTAAGAGGCAAGGGGACATTTTCCTGGAACATTTTGCTGCCTCTGGTTTTCTGCCTGAAGCCTTGCTTGACATCATCACCAACTGTGGCTCGGGGTTTGCAGGTACATATGCACCAGAGTGGTCCTAGTGGCTGAGCTTGAATACAGGCAGATCTGCTTGTCAGTCCCAGCATTGCCACCTTTCAGTTACATGATCTTGGACAAGTTCATTGTTCTAGTCAGCAGTGTTTATTGAGTCACGCTACTGTGCCTCCTCACTTGGTTTTCCCATACAGCTGTTGTTGATGGAGTGGGACTCACAGTAGGCACTGCCCCTGCCCTCAGAGACCTAGAGTCCCATTAATCTTGTTCATATGATAGGGCTAAGGCTGTGCTCTGTAGGGTTAATTAGGAGCCAGTAAGCTTATAAATATAAGGAACCAGCTCACTGTCTGGCCACACCATAAGCTTTAAAGCCACAGATTCTTATGATTACTGTGATTACATAAGTATGAGCTCTAACAGTATTACTGGTGTACTGTGAATCTAGCTTATTCAAGGTTTAGAACACAAACCTTGAAGAAGCCGGGCGGTGGTGGCGCACGCCTTTAATCCCAGCACTCCGGGAGGCAGAGGCAGGTGGATCTCTGTGAGTTCGAGGCCAGCCTGGTCTACAAGAGCTAGTTCCAGGACAGGCTACAGAGAAACCCTGTCTCGAAAAACCAAAAAGAACCAAGTACCAAATAGGATGACTCCTTGTGGCAATAACTTGATAATTCTAGTTTCTAAGGTGATTTTGAGGCTCGAGGAGGTTGTAACTTGCCAGAGTCACATCCTTAGTAAAGGATAGTGTTCTTTTGTTTTGTTTTTCAAGACAGGGTTTTCCTGTAGCTTTGGAGCCTGTCTTGGGACTAGCTCTGACAGATCAGGCTGGTCTCGAACTCACAGAGATCTGCCTGCTTCTTTCCCCCCCCTCCCCCAAGTGCTGGGATTAAAGGTGTGCACCACCACCTCCCAGCAAGGATATAATTCTTGAGGCCCATGCCTGACCATGGTGTCTTCTGACTGCACTAAAGGTATTGCTGCTCACTAAGAAGGTGCTTCCAGGGGGCTGGAGAGATGGCACAACAGCTAAAAACTCTTGCTAGTATGAGTTCTATTCCCAACATCCATATCAGATGGCTCACAACTGCCTGTAACTCCAGTGTCAAGGGATCTGACAGCCTCTTCCAACCTCCATGGGTAGGCTTGTGTAACTTGCGTGTGTACACACACATAAACTAAAAATAAGAAAATGTTCAAAAAACAGCTTTCCGTCTGGGTGTGGTGTTACACACTTGGAATCCCAACGTTAGAGAAGCTGAAATAAGAGGATTGCTAGTTTGATGTCAGTCTGGACTTTATAATACCAAAGTCCTTTCTCAAACGAAACAGAAAAGCAGCAACTTCCAGCACTGAGGTTCCACTGTGGCATTAAGTATGAAGTTTGTAGGACATGCTGGTGCCATACTCTACTCAAAGCCAAGCACACAGAAGCTCTGGAATAGCCAGGCATTGGGCACACTGTTCTTGCAGTTTTGATCCAAAACTGGGAAGCCTATAGCTTGCTCACTTGCTCTTCTTTGTGTGTGAAAGTGGGAGAAAAGCTGGGTAGTGTAATCAACATCTATATTCCAGCTGTGTGGGAAACTGAGGCCAGAGGATCAAAATCTGTAGGCCAGTCTGGGCAATGCAGAAAGAAAGATAAAAGTAATTACAGAAATAAGCTGAGGGAGGGGCTGAGCAGCTGAGTGGACCTAACTTGCAGAGAACCAAATGGGCAGGACCCTGCCGGAGCTGATAACACAGTTTGACCTGACCCGGATCACCTGCCACTCAGCCCTACTGGACCTGGAGAAGCTCCCAGAATTCAATAGGTAAGTGGGAGAGCCAAGTACTATGGTGCATTCCCAGCACTTGGAAAACTTGAGAGAGGTGAATTGTAAATTCTGGGCCAGATTGGATTACATAGTAGCCTCAAATATACTACGTAACCAATTGATGACCTTGTATCTTGATCCTCCTACTTCCACCTTTCAAGTGCTCAAGTTACAGGAGTGTGTCAGCATACTGACTCAACTGCACTTGTTTTAAGTATATGACTTGATCAGTTCTGTAATTTTGCTATATGTTAGCTATAGGAGATCCAAGACAGAATTTAAATGACTAGCACATTTACACAGTGGGCAGTGAGGCATTTCTTGCATGGGGCCTGCAAGAGTGAATGTAATCTAGATGCAATATAACTACCATTTTTTTTTTAAATCTCACTGATGTGCTATTTTAGGGGGTCATGGAGTCCAGTTAGAGATACACTGTGATGCCTCCCAAGCCTCCTTGGAAGACAGGGAAGGGAGAGAGTACTTAGGACTGATGCCCACAGACTTAATCTAACCAATAATTATCCTCAGATGTTTCTGTCATCATGCCACTGCCGTGCTTACTTCAGAGACATAGTAAATACATTAGAAGGCTTATTAGTGTTCCAGCAGCAGTAGCAGTAAATACTGGTAGTATATGAACATGGGAATTGTAATTAAGAATCATTTAGTTTGACTATGTTCCAGGCTTGAATTTATGGTGTATCAATTCAGCATGGCCAGGGCTTCTCTGTGTAACAGTCCTGGCTGTCCTGGAACTCATTTTGTAAATCAGGCTGGTCTCGAATCCACTGAGATCTGCCTGCCTCTGCCTTCTAAGTACTGGAATTAAAGGCATGCACCACAACCACCCAACTGTGTTTTCTGTAATACTCTTGTTTTTGTTTGTTTGTTTGTTTCAAGACAGGGTTTCACTGTAGTTTTAGAGCCTGTTTAGCTCTTGTAGATCAGACTGGCCTCAAACTCACATAGATCTTCCTGCTTCTGCCTCCCAAGTGCTGGGATTAATTGCGTGCACCGCTACTGCCCGACTTCTGTAATATTCTTTTGAAAAATATTTTTTCCAACCAAATTACTTTTGCCTGTAATTCCAGCACTGGGGGTTGAGGTGGGAAGATATAGAGTTTTAGGCCAGCCTGACTACATAGAACCTATCTCAAACATCAGAAGCTAAGCAAAAAGTTTTTAATGTTTTTGTCAGTGTACATTCGAGATAGCTTCCCATAATGTCTTGTCTTCCATCTTGTGACATACCAGGAGCCGCAGACTCCTGCTCCCAAATGGGTGACTTCCAAACCCTGGCATCAGTACTTTGAATGTAGATCCATACTTAACCTTCACTACCACCCTGTCTGTGCCAAGGCTTCCCAGCTTTCTAATGGCTGTGTGAGTGATTGCAAACTCTTGCCAGGCAGGCTTTGGACACAGGTCTGTTCCAGTCCCAGCCCTATGAGCTGTTTGCCACTTTACTGCCTAGCTTTCCTCTATAACACAGACAAGGGGCCACAGGACTTAGAATGGTCCCTGGTTCTGCACTGCTCTGAGTCTCCTTGGCAGCATGGGAACTGAAGATGACTGGGTTTCGTATGAGGGTTGGATTCTTAAGAGCCTCTACTGTTCAGAAGGAGAAAATCAGAGAGTTAGAATTCCAGAAAAAAGATAAATTTGAACAGAACAGAAAGCTCCAGCTTTGAAGCTGAAGCTGAGTGCTTCATTGAAATAGCCCCTTGTTCCAATCCTAGGAATACATTTTTACCTCTCCTTTTATATTGGTGTTTCATAATCCAAGCGAGGCCAAAAAACACATTCCTGGATCCTATTGATAAACTCAGGTGCCTGTAGTAATTGGGTGATGGTGTGGGGAGGGAGAGGCTAGTAAGACACCCAGGAGGAGAGGGCCAGGGCAACTGGAGGACAGGAATCTGAGCCAGCAGCGTGGATCCAGCCTGCTCCAGCCACTTAAGGGGCTTGTGCACCCAGAGCTGCTTCTTCCACGGGGAAAACCAGAATGTTCCTTATGTGATCTAGCTTAAGATAGTTCCTTTGCTGGCTGTAGCTGAGTTTTAGAATGTTTCCCTAGCATGCATAAGGCCCCAAGTTTGCTCCCTACCACCTCAAAAGCCATAGGAAAAAAAATCAGCTACTATTTTTAAAACACTAAAAATACTTGGTGTGGTGTTGTGCACCTTTAATCTACGCTTGGGGTGCAGAGGCAGGTGGATCTGTGGTTTTTGTGACTAGCTGGGTTTACATAGTGAGTTCCAGGCCAGCTAGGGATATATAGGGAGACCTTGTCTATAAATAAATAAATAAATAAGTGAAAGAGTAAGTAAATAAAAACACTGAAAACAAATCACGTCTGCCTAGACTTAGGCTGGCTGTGACCTCGATCAAATCCTGCCCCTTTTATACATACAAAAAAAATTACATTTATCTATGGGTTTTGAAGATGTGAGTGACTGTCTTCAAATCCCTACTGTTGCCCCAAGGGGAAAGATTTGGCATAGTCCTGGGGTACTCATACCAAGGCATCCTCCTTATTTACCCTCAGACTGCACCTCCAACGGTTGGTGAGCAGTGAGACCCGAAGACCTCAGTTGGTGAAGAAGCTGCAGGCCCTGGTGAAGGAGGCATTCGGGAGCCAACTGCAAGACAAGGATGTTCTGGACCCAGCATATGTGGAGAGGATCATCCTGCTGCGACAGGTATGGATTTAGGGCCTCCTTTCCGCTTCCAGTGTTTCTCAACTCCTCCCAGAGCATGTGATGGCTGTCTCTCTCTCTCCCCAGGGCCACATCAGCCGTCTGCAGGATCTGGTCTCCCCAGTGTATGCCTACTTATGGACTCGTCCTGCCGTCCATCGAGCACAACTGGGCGTTGACTCAGAAAAGGTGGATGTGATTGTCAAACGCTTGCTGGGGTAAGTGTGCACACACCTGGCTAAGGGTTAGACACACTCTTCCCATTCTTTGCCCTTGCTTCTCTACACCAGACCTTTGGCTCTTGGACCCTATCACAAAACAGTGACAAACTAAAAAAAAAAAAAAAATGCTCTCTCACTGGTTTCTCAGGTAAGGACAGCAACCCCAAAGGTCTATATGGCTTCCCCTCCCAGAGCTTCCTTTTCCTCTGCTGTGTGTAGGGGGAGAATACCTGGTTTACTGTAGCAATAATAGAATTTTTGTCTAATTAAACTTTTAAAGGTTTATTTAGTTTTATTTTATGTGTCTGAGTGTTTTGCCTGCATGTATGCCTGTGTACCATTTTTGTGTCTGATATATTATTAATACACTAATTTTTTTGGCGGGGGGGGGGGGGGTGGNTTATTGCTTGAATCTTTCCCCAGGCTTTTAGATTTTGTCTTGAAAGTGTTTCTTCTGAAGAGCATACTGTTGGCTCTTGCTTTATTACCCAGCTTGGCAGCGTTGTCTTTATCTGGAGTAGTAGGCTATGTATGTGCATTTGTCCAACCTGCATCTTTTTTTTTTTGTTGTTGTTTTGGTTTTTCGAGACAGGGTTTCTCTGTGGCTTTGGAGCCTATCCTGGCACTAGCTCTGTAGACCAGGCTGGTCTCGAACTCACAGAGATCCGCCTGCCTCTGCCTCCTGAGTGCTGGGATTAAAGGCGTGCGCCACCATGGCCTGGACCACACTGAAACTTTTTAAGCCTAGGCTTTAAATGTGAATATTATAAGCTGGACATGGTGGTGTACAATTATACCCTGGTGTATTCTTCCATCTGCCTAATTCTTCTCATAATTGTAATTTCTGTTTTCCATTTTATCCCAAAAGGTGTAGTACAGTGATAATGTTTGGATATATTTTCCACTTTTTTCTTTTTTTCTTTATTTTTTTAAAGACAGGTACTGTATGTTGCCCAAGCTAGTACAAAACTGATCAAAAATGATCTTCCTGCATCTTTCCAGGCAGCTAAGACTGTAGGCATGGAGTACTGTACCCAGCAGTAGTATGCCTAGATTTGTCCAATGCTTGAAAGTCTCCTCATTCCTTTCTATGGCTAACTTTACTTGTAATAACCACTTCAACAAGAATTTAATTAATCTATTTATTTATATTAGGGTTGCTTCCAAATTTTGCTTTTAGAAATAATTGTACAGTGACTAAACTTGCAAGGTTATTTCTAAGTATATTTGCAGCAAGTCTACCCCCAATCAGTACCCTCAGTCAGTACCCAAGTAGTTTGGTATATTCCATAATAGGGTCTTTTTTTTTTTTAAGATTTTATTTATTTATTAAGTATACAATATTCTGCCTGCATGTATGTTCACACCAGAAGAGGGCACCAGATATCACTATAGATGGTTGTGAGCCATCATGTGGTTGCTGGGAGTTGAACTCAGGACCTCTGGAAGAACAGTCAGTGTTCTTAACCTCTGAGCCATCTCTCCAGTCCCATAGTAGGGTCTTTAGTTCTTTTTTCTTTTGTTTATTTGTTGTTTGTTGTTGTTTGAGACAGGGTCTCACTATATAGCCTTGGCTGGTCTGGAACTCATGTATAGACCAGGCTATCCTCAAACTTGTAGAAATCCACCTGTTTCTGACATCATTCAAATACTGGGAGTAAAGTACCAAGTTTAGCATATTCTTAAACATTGGTCTAGATTTGTACATGTGAATGCAGTGCCCGTGGAGAGTAGAGATAAATGGAGCCACCCAATGTGAACCAAGCTCAAGTCCTCTGAAAGAGCAGTATATACTTTTAACTGCTGACCATCTCTGCAGCTATTAATTCCAGTTCACCAAGACCATGTCTCAACTTCTTATCCTTGTTGTGGATTAGATTTTAGAGACACTAGGACTCTCACTCAATTCAGGAAAGTTGATACCCAAATGCCTAGAAGCCTCCAGACCACTTTTGTACCAGTGTCAAGGTCTCAGCCAGCTCTAATGTCTCCTGGGGTGCCATTAGCAGCTTCCTGGGACTTGTCCTGTTCTTTGGCAGCCTCTTTCCCTGAATACAGTGACAATTGAGGAATGTCCATTTTCTTCCTATCTTGCACTTTAGATTTTTAGTATTTCATCTCCTTGATTTTATAAACAGTAGTGATCCTGTGCCCAGTTAATGATTGCCTTTGGTCCAGTAAGACTGCTGATAAAAACACCGTAGACTTCTGTAAACAACAGGTTTTTGAGTGCCAGTGCTGAAAGCTGGGGGTCTGCAGATGAGTGCCAACTGACTCAGTAGCAGCCAATGGCCTTGTCCTCCTTGGTTTTTCATGTCCTCAGCTGCTGAAGTCTGGCAGTTGTTAACATTGAGAGGCTGTTTCTTCAGATTATTTATAAGACCACTCCACACTGAGCTGCCACTCAGAGCACCATGGTGTGGACCCCATCAGGAGCAGCAGGGGGTCTGCTCATGTAGCATTGATATAGCACCTCTGTCCTATTGTTTTAGAAGTTGGTTTGTTTTTGTTTTGTGTTGTGTGTGTGTGTGTGTGTGTGTGTGTGTCCGTCCGTGGAGATTATAAAGGGGCACTGATTCCTTACAATTGAAATTAAAGGGCTGGGCGGTGGTAGCGCACGCCTTTAATCCCAGCACTCGGGAGGCAGAGGCAGGAGGATCTCTGTGAGTTCGAGACCAGCCTGGTCTACAGAGCTAGTTCCAGGGACAGGCTCCAAAGCCACAGAGAAACCCTGTCTCGAAAAACCAAAAAAAAAAAAAAAAAGAATTGAAGTTAAAGGTGGTTGTAAGCCACCTGACATGGGTACTGGGAACCAAACTTGGGTTCTCTAAAAGCAGTAAATGCTCATAACTGCTAAGCCATCTTTCCAGCCCCTGGGATATTATCCTAAGGGACTGGGGAAGCTGCAGTGGAATGTAGTCATGTACTGCCTCAATCAGAGCTGGGTTAGATGGCTTATAAGTCCAGCTCTCACTAGTTGGGGACCACTTGAAACTCAAATATGCTTCCAGGAGATGAGGATGGTTGCTGACTGGTGGAGTTTAGATCCTTCATGTTTTTGTTTGTGGGGAAAGAGGCTCTCTTCCTAGCATGTTGACAGTGAAGCTGTTCCTAGAGCTGCTGTTTCCTGATGTTTTCTTTCTCTTCCTCTGTGCTATACTCCCCTTGACAAATCTTGAAGCTGTTTCAAGTAATTCCTCAGAAATTACCTATTCTTGCATTCTGTGTCCAACCCATTCCCAAGTTTTCTTTCTAGGTTCCTCTGCAATGTCTCTGAGCTGTTCGGTATAGTAAATACTAAGTTTTTTTGTTTGTTTTTGTTTTTTGTGACAGGGTTTCTCTGTGTAGCCCTGACTGTCCTTGAACTTGCCCTGTAGACCAGGCTAGTCTGCCTCTGCCTCCCCAGCTCTGGGATTATAATCATGACCATTATGCCTGCCTCAGACTCGCTCTCTTTTAGAGTTTTAGAAACATCTGGTTTGAGCCTAACTCAGGATGTGGTGAACAGAGAACTGAAGAAGCTTTCAGAAGGCCTAGAAGGCACCAAGTACAGCAGCGTGATGAAGCTCCTCCGAATGACCCTCAGTGGACAGATGGTGAGATGATGTACTGAAGTATTGTAGATAGTCCCTCATTGACCCTCCCAGCCAATGTTCATAGTCTGGTACTAAGGCCAGTCCAGTGGGATGATAAACTGATGAACAGATCACTTCCCTCATTTACCCACTGAGCATCTTCTGGGTCCAGGCACTGTGATAGTTACAGTGGAGATGGCTTAAACAGAACACATATTCCTTCCTCATGGAGGTCATGAGAATAATAGATTACCAATTTGCCAAAGGCAGAAAAAGCCTCCCGAGAGCCATTGAATGGGAAAAAAATTCAGAGAAGTAGAACTGAGTAGGGCTGGATTATAGCTTAGTGCTGAAGCATTTGCTAGCATTCATGAAGCTCTAAGGTTGATCCCTAGCTCTGGAAAAATAAAAACAGGAGCTGGAGAGATAACTCAGAGGTTAAGAGCACTCTGGTGAACCGGGTTCAGTTCCCAGCACCCACATGTCATTGCACAACTCTCTGTATCTCCAGTTCCAGAGGATCTGACACCCTCATACAGACACACATGCAGGCAAAGCTCCCATATACATAAAACAAAACTTTAAAAAAAATCATCTTAGACAAAAGAAAATACAATAAATACAGGCTCCATTCCTGGGGTTGCAGGCTATGGGTTGGGGCTGGTTTGTGGGTTGTGGTCTACAGATTGAGACATTGAAAATAAGCATGCATTCCTTCTACAATTCAAGGCAAAAAGACAGAATTTTTGTGGTTTTTCTTTCTTTCTTTTTTTTTTTTTTTTTTTAGCAAGGACCTCCTGTGGCTGAGATGATGGTGTCCTTGGGCGCAAAGGAAGTACAGGAGCGAATCCAGAAGGTGCTTTCTAGCTAAGGAGAAGATGAATAGGAATAAGGCAGCTCTGAAGGCCTCTACACATGGAAACTGCATTCTGAGGAGATCAGGAGGCCTGCAGCGCATTTGGACACTTTCAGGATCAACAGTAAGAGAAACAGACTCTCTGAATACCCTCATCAGCCGGCTTTCGGGGAAGCCCAGCCTGCTTCACCTCGCTGATTCTGGAAAGGATGAACTTGAACTCATACCTTTTTTTTTTTTTTTTAACCTATTTTGTTTTTGTTTTCTGAGATAGGGTTTCTCTGTGTAAGAGTCCTGACTGTTCTAGAACTCACTCTGTAGACCAGGTTGGCCTCAAACTCAGAGATCTGCTTGCCTCTGCCTCCCAAGTGCCGGGAGTAAAGGTGTGTGCCACTACTCCCTGGTTCTTTTCTATTTTTAATGTGTTTGGATAGTTTGCCTCCATATTTGCCTGTGTATCACATGCATATGTCCAGTGATTCTTGGAAAGGCAAGGAGAACATGGATCACCTAGAAATAGAGTTTCAGAGGGTTTTGAGCTACCATTTGGGTACTTAGAATTAAACCCAGGTCTTCTAGAAGGGCAGCCAGTGTTTAATCACTGAGCCATCTCTCCAGCCCCTTGTGCTGATTTTCGTGCCATATTCTACAGCAGATATTAGGAGCTAGTTTATAAAAAAGATCAACATTCCAAATCAGTCCAGAGGACTGAGGTCTTGGTTCGTTAGGCTGCATAATAAAATATCACCGAATATAGTGACTTAAACAAAAACTATTGATTTGTTTAATGTCCTAGAGACTGGAAGTACAAGGTAAGTGTCATAGGGTCAGTTTCTTGAGGGCACCTCTCCTGAATTGCAGTGTCCTCGCAGGGTCTTTCCTTTGTGCACATTTATCCCTGTTTCCTTTCGGTGTATCCTAGTGTTTCTCAAGGGCACCAGTCAGGCCAAATGCTACTCACTCTCACAGCCTCATTTTAGCCTAAATAACACCCTTTAAAGTCTGACATCCAAGTGCAGCCTAACATTGTATGATACTGAAGCTTAGGATTTCTATAATTGGAATAGTAGGCGAGGCGCAGTTTAGTCCACAATAGTTCAGTGCTAGTCTGGACTCATGGGTCCCAATTCTCAGGCCCCTTCTGAAGGTAGAGCCATAATGGACAGACAAGCAGGACCAAATAGACATCAGACTTTGCTTTCAATTGTAAAGAGAGAAGTTGCTCTTCTAGCCAGGTAAACACTTGTGTTTGGTGTTGCTTTTTGTCCTTGGACTTAGGGTAGCCTGTGTCTTCTTTCCTTGAAGGTCATCTGCTCTCTTCCAGTTCCCAAGACGTGATGCTTAAACTAGAGACCTTCACTCTTCTTATATTTGGTGCCTTTCATCATATCCACCATTGCTTATAAGTCATTGTATTCAGATTCCTGAAATCAGGTTTCTGTTCTTGACGTCCTAACTAACTCAGAGTAGCTTAAGGAGCATGGTGACCAGGTACCTGGCTTCTAGTCTTTCTTAGGGACAGCCTCTCTGCACCAGCACTCTCTCCTGAGGACAACAGATGTGTAACCAGTAGGCTTTTAGAGTGGTAGAGGCTTGATCACAAAGGACCTTGCCATCTCCTGTAACCAGGAAGACTCTCAGTGGAGGAACTGGAACACCAACCCAGCCTCAAAACCTTCAACCTACAATTTGTCCTGCCTACAAAATATGCTGTGGTAAAGGTGACACAGAAATTGGGAGTGGATAACCAATGTCCTCCCCAGCTTGAGATCCATGCCACAAGAGGGAGCCCACCCCTGACACTGCCTGGAAAGCTGGAAAGCCAGGAACCAAAAGCTAGGTAGCCAGAGACCTAGCTAGGATAGAGCCAAACATGACTGGCCAAAAAAAAAAAGTAAATAAAATAATTCCTAATGATACTCTGCTATACTCATAGACCAGAGTCTAGCATAATTGTTGTCAGAGAGGCTTCATCCATCAACTAAGGAAACAGATGCAGAACTCAGGGAATCCTGCGGAAGAGGGGGTAGAAGAATTGTAGAAACCAGAGGGAACAAGGACACTACAAGAAAACTCATAGAATCAATTAACTTGGGCCTATAGGGACTCACAAAGACTGAACCAAGAACCAGGGAGCCTGCGTGGATCTGACTTAGGCCCTCTACATAATGTGTGATAGTTTTGTAGCTTGGTGTTCTTGTGGAACCCCTAATAGTGGGAACAGGGGCTGTCTGAATTTTTTTGCCTGCTTTTGTGACTTTTTCCCCTCAGTGGGTCACCTTGTCCAGCCTTAGGGGAAGTGCATTGTCTTATTGCAACTTGATAAGCTATGTTTGGTTGGTATTGCTGGAAGGCCTGCCGTTTTTTAAGGGAAATGGAGAGGGATTGGTTGGGGAAAGCTGAGAGGAGAGAAGAGGAGGAAACTACAGTTGAAATGTAATATATGACAAAAAATAAATTAATAAAAAACCTGGAAAATATGAAGTGGATAAGTAGAACTTGGAACCTATACTGCTGATGGAAATATAAAAACATTAGTAGCTAAACAAAGAGCTGACCCAGCAACTCTATTCCTAGGCATAAACCACCACCCCCAAAAAAATACTTGTTTACTATTATTCATTATTATTCATAGTAAGTGACTAATAATAGGAGAAAAACAAAAGAAAAAAAACAGAAAATAAAAAAATAAAGTACCTTGCAGCTTCTCGCTGGTTCTCTTATCTTCATCTCAGGGAAAGCCAGCTTCCAGGTCATGAAGAAGCTCGAGCTCTTGCATCTCCCAGGGGTCCACATGACATTGGAGCCTCCTGTTAGCAGCCATGTGAGTGAACCATATTGGAAGCTGGTCCTCCAGCTGCAGCTGAGCACCTCCTGAGACCCTCAGCCACAGTACTCAGAGAACACTCTGGAACCTGAGACCAAGATTGTGAGACAGTAAATGTTCATTTAAAGGGACTTGCTTTGAGAGTAATTTATTACCTAGCAGTAGATAATTGCTATTCTCTCCTCGTCCAGGTAAGTATAGAAAAGGATTAAATAGAGCTTTTTGAGCCTTGCTTAGAAAAAGAAATGTTCTTCGTTTGCAAGAAAATCAAGTCTAAATTGGTGGAAATAGAGCCCCCCCCCCCAAAAGAAAAAACAACTCTGGAAAAACCATTGACCCAGATCTTCAAGAAAACAGTGCTGGTTGGTTGACTTTTGTTAACTTGACACAAACTTACACATATCTGAGAAACAGTGATCTTATTTTGAGACAAATTCTGTGTAGTCCTGGCTGGTACTTGGTAGGTTATTCCAGGTTGGCTTCAAACTTGAAGAGCTCTGCCCTCTTTTGACTCCTAAGTGCTAGAATCAAAGATATGTACCACCATGTCCAACTTGGGAAGAGGGAATCTTAATTGAGAAAATGTCTTTATACAGTTGGTCTGTGAACATTTTCTTGAGTAATTATTGATAAGGAATGGCCCCACTCACTGGGCAGGGCCATCTCTGGGCAGTTGGGCCTGGATGATACAAGAAAGCAGGCCACACAAGCTGAAAGGAGCAAGGCAGTAAGAAGCAGTGTTCCTCTGTGGCCTCTGATTTCAGTTCATGCCTAGAGTTATTCCCCTGACTTCCCTCCATGTTGGAATATGACCTGAGTGTTCTAAGATGAAATAAACCCTTTTCTCCTCAAGTTATTTTTAGTCATGGTGTTTTATCATAGGAATTACAACTCTAAATAAGGGCAATCTTAGAAAAGCAATATACACATTCAATGCACTGCCCAGCAAAATTCTTCAAAGACCTCAAAAGAACAGTACTCAACTTCATATGGAAAAGCAAAAAACCCAGGATAGCCAAAACAGTCCTGTACAATATAAAAGACTTCTGGAGACATCACAATCCCTAACTTCAAACTCTATTACAGAGCTACAGTACTAACAACAGCCTGGTATTGGCATCAGAACAGACAGGAGGACCAATAGAACCAAATAGAAGACCCGGATATCTATCTCTACATCTTCGAACACCTGATTTTTGACAAGAAAGCAAAAAAATATCAAATGGAAAAAAAGCATATTTAACAAGTGGTGCTGGCATAACTGGATATCAACATGTATAAAAATGAAAATAGACCCTTATCTATCACCACACACAAAACTCAAGTCCAAATGGATCAAAGACCTCAATATAAAGCCGGCCACACTGAACCTCATAGAAGAGAAAGTGGGAAGTACACTTGAATGCATTGGCACAGGGAACCACTTCCTAAATAGAACCTCAGGAGCACAGACACTGAGAGACAATTAATAAATGGGACCTCCTGAAACTGAAAAGTTCTGTAAAACAAAGGACACGGTCAGCAAGACAAAACAACAGCCTACAGAATGGGAAAAGATCTTCACCAATCCCATATCAGACAGAGGTCTGATCTCCAGAAATAAACAAAGAACTCAAGAAATTGGACACCAAAAGAGCACATAACCCAATAAAAAAAATGGAGTACAGACCTAAACAGAGAACTCTCAACAGAGGAATCTAAAATGGCTGAAAGACACTTAAAAAGGAAATGTTCAACATCCTTAGTCATCAGAGAAATGCAAATCAAAACAACTCTTGAGATTCCATCTCACACCTGAAAGAATGGCCAAGATCAAAAACACTGATGACAACTTATGCTGGAGAGGTTGTGGGGAAAAGGGAACACTTCTGCATTGCTGGTGGGAATGCAAGCTGGTACAACCCCTTTGGATGTCAGTGTGGCGATTTCTCAGAAAATTAGGAAACAACCTTCCTCAAGACCCAGTAATACCACTTTTGAGTATATATCCAAAGGATGCTCAATCGTGCCACAAGGACATGTGCTCAACTATGTTCATAGCCAGAACCTGAAAACAACCTGAATGCCCCTCGACTGAAGAATGGATAAGGAAAATGTGGTACATTTACACAATGGAGTACTATACAGCAGAAAAAATCTTGAATTTTGCAGGAAAATGGATGGATCTAGAAAACATTATTTTGAGTGAGGTAACCCAGACATAGACAATTATCACATGTACTCATTCATAGGTGGTTTTTAAGCATAAAGCAAAGAAAGCCAGCCTACAAACCACAATCCCAGAGAACTTAGACAACAATGAGGACACTAAGAGAGACTTAGATCTAATCTACGTGGGAAGTAGAAAGTAGAAAAAGAGAAGATCTCCTGAGTAAATTGGGAGCATGGGGACCTTGGGGGAGGGCTGAAGGGAGGAGGGGAGAGGCTGGGAGGGGAGCAGAGAAAAATGTAGAGCTCAATAAATGTCAATAAAAAAGAGGAAAAAAAAAACCCTAACTAAGATGGGAACCAGGCAATGGTAGCTGATAGCCTGTTTGGCTAAGGTCTTGCAATGGGGACAGGTATATATCCCAGTGATGGTGAGTGTTTATTTTTTTCAGCCATTTCCCCTTAGGTGTTGGGTGACTGAGCTTAAGATTCAGCTTCTGAGTCTGGTAAGAGATGCTGCTGCCAACCCTCACTGGGAATAGATGGTTGCACAGAGATATACTCAATGTAAGGAATTTTCCCTAAGTACCTGAAGAAATTCCAGAGGCTGACTACTGAGTAGAGCTAAATAATCACATCAGCGACTGTGTGCTGCATCCACCTCAGCTGCTCACAGGGTTCAGATGCTGGTGGCTAGCACGTTAGCCCAGCTCATTAAGTCTTTTTAATGATTTATTTATTTCAATTTTTTCTGTACATTGCTGTTTTGCCTACATGTATGTGTATGTGAGCATGTTGGATTCCCTGGAACTGGAGTTACAGACAGTTGTGGGCTGCCGGAAATTGAACCCGGGTCCTCTAGAAGAACAGCCAGTACCCTTTTTTGTTTGCTTGTTTGTTTTCTGAGTTTTCTGTCCCACCAGCCCCACATCCGTTTAGTCCCAAAGAAACACAGAGGTCTACATTAATTATAAACGGGTTGTCCTAGTAGCTCCAGCTTCTTTTAATTAATGCTTTCATCTTACATTAACCCATTATTCTTGTCTGTATTAGCCATGTGGCTCAGTACCTTTTTTGTTGAGGCAGTCACATCTTGCTTGCTCAGTGTCTGGCTTCCTCTGTGTCTGGATGACGACTGTAGACTGACTCTTTCCCCTTCCCAGAACTCTCCTGTTCTCGTTGTCCCACCTCTACCTCCTGCCTCGTTGCCTTGCCTATACTTCCTGCCTGGCTACTGGCCAATCAGTGTTTTATTAAAAATAATACAAGTGACAAGATAAAAGGACCATTTCCCCACAGCATTAAATAATTTATTTCCTGTGCAATAGTGTTTTGCCTGAAGTATGTCATGTACAAAAGTGTTGGGTCCCCTGGAACTGGAGGTGCAGACAGTTGTGAGTTGTCATATGGGTGCTGGGAATTGAACCCAGGTCATTCTGGAAGAGCATCTGGTGTTCTTAACGACTGAACCATCTCTCCAGCCCCAGCCAGTACTCTTAATCGCTGCCCCAACTCTCCAGTCCCTAGCTCATTAACTCTTACCCCAGGAGATAGGTGGTATTATTACTGTTTGAGGGAGGAGGTTTTGCTGTGTTTTCATATGTTATAGATGGAGAAATTGAAACTGTGAAAAATTAAGTAAAACTTTTGGGATATGATATGAGGCAGTCTTAAACACAGATCTATGACAATTTTAAGAGTCCAAATCTTTTTTTTTTTTTTGATTCAGGTTCTCACTATGTAGCCCTGAACTAGCTTTGTAGACTAGGCTAGCCTTGAGCCCACAGAGATATCTTTTCTTCCCAAGTCCTGGAATTAAAGGAAGTGCCACCATGCCTAGACTAACTCTTAATTTTTTAAAAATATTTTTTGTAAGAAGAGTGGGGGGAGGGGGAGGGAAATGGGAGGCTGGGAGGAGGCGGAAACTTTTTTTTTCTTATTCTCAATAAAATAAAAAAAAATATTTTTTGTATAAATATTTGCCTGCCTGTATGTCCATTTACCATGTGTGTGTCTGGCCCTGTGGAGGTCAGAAGAGGGCAGCTGATCCCCTGGAACTGGAGTTAGAGGCAGCTATAAGCTGCCATGTGGGTGCTATGAGTCAAACCTGGGTCTACTGCAAGAATAGTCAGTGCTCTTAACTGCTCAGCCGTCTTTCCAGTTGTCCCTCCTAACTCTTAATTAAGTGACTACTCTTGAAACATTAAAAATGACTATGTCAGATGTGATGACACATGTCAGTGATCCTAGCCTTCAAAAGGCTGAGGTAAACTGGGCATAGGGGTACATGCCTTTGATCCCAGTGCTCAAGTTCAGATCATCCTCTTCTACAGAGTGAGTTACAGGACATTCAGGGCTACACAGAGGAAACTCTGTCTTGGGTGAGTGGGGGTCGGAACTGATGCAGAAGGAAAGTGAACTCAAGGTCATCCTGAGCCACAAAAGCCAAAAAGGAGAGAGAAAAAAGGTGGGTATGGGACCAGGTGGTAGTGGCGCATGCCTTTAATCTTAGCTCTTGGGAGACAGAGGCAGGCAGATCTCTGTGAGTTTGAGGCCAACCTGGTCTACAGAGCAAGTTCCAGGACAGTCATAGTGGTTACACAGAGAGACCCTGTCTCAAAAAATCTAAAAATAAAAGTAATAATAAAGAGGGTGAGGGAATAGAGAAAATACAGAAACTCATAGGCTTGTGCTCAAGGAATGAGAATATGAATGTGTTCCCAAAGTATTGTAATGCCAAGTAGACCTGGTATGGTGTTTTGGGTCTATAATCCCAGCATTTTGGAGGTGGAGACCAGAGAATCAGCAATTCAAGGTCATCTTCCATATAGAATAATTTTTTTAATTATTTGTGTACTGTGCAAGTATACTTGTGAGGTCAGAGGTCAGCTTTCAGGAATCAGTTCTCACCTTCAACTGAGGTTCCAGGGATTGAATTCAGGTCACCAGACTTTTTCTGAGACAATGTTTTACTCTATAGCCCTCACTGTTCAGAACTAGAACTATCTCTGTAGACCAGGCTAACCTTGAACTCACAGAGATCTACCTGTCTTTACCTCCTGTGTGCCAGGATTAAAGGCATGTACCACCACTGCCCTATCCTGTCAGGTCAGCAGACTTTAGCACAAGTACTTTTCCTCACTGACCCAAGCTCCA